CTATTTTTATTATACTCAAGTGCTTTAAGCAGCTGAAATTACAACTTGCTAAAGTTGTGGACTGAGATTAAAGATTTATCTAGGCTGTGTTTTTATTGAATCTGCTATGTTATCATATGTAGATTTGTAGATTTATGATTTTTGTATTAACAGAATTAATATAATAGTTGCTGTACAAACATTGTAGCCATAATCCAAAATAGAAATAGATATGTGAATCTCAATGATATAAACTCGTCCTTAATATGTTTCAATGATTGCATTGAGCTTAAATCATGTAACTGAATTTTAATCCGTTCTTAAAAATGGTAATTTGTAATGCAAAATTCTTCAATGTATTTTGTTGTTTTTCTGTACGTAAGTAAATTGCATTGCATTCAGCATAAGATTACATCAATTCTTAATAGAATACCGTATTTTCCAGTAGCAAACACTTTTGGAATTTTGGAATTAAATTAATCACAACCAAGATTTTATATTTTGTTTTTAAAGTTCAGTCTCAGTTATAAAAATATTCTAAAGACATTTTCTAGATGTTGTGATCCAAACTAATTATGATGTGTAAAAACTAAATAGCGTTTACTAGGATTTAATGAGTTGATTTCATTTAAGGGGAGTAGGAAGGTTCTAGTAAGCCACATATAGAGTAGGAAGGCATTTAGAAAGTACATTTATTCTTACCTTTATCTTTAGTCTTATAGACTATTTGAAAAAAGACCTTAATTGCAAGCAGAAAGAGGGGATAGAAATAAAGCCCATGTTTCCTAAGGACCCCATTGAATGGCATTAGATCTGTGTGAACTATGGGCAGTGGTCTACTTTTTTTCCCCTTTTTCCTTCCATAAAGCCATGTATATGAAATAAAAATATTCAGTGTCAGTTCTGTTCCCTATTTTCGGTTAGTCTTTTCCCTAGTTTTGGCACATAGTGTAACTTCTTGACTTTGCATCCATTGTGCAAACGGGACTATTCTGATACCTTCTGTTTATAATTTTATGACTCTCAATGCATTGTTTGCAGTATCTAAATCAAGTAAGGAGCTTTTATTAAATGGAAATGGATTTGGGATTTAAGCTGGTGAAGTAGATTCCAAAATACTCTGCATCTGTGTTGGTATCCCATTGTGATTTCCCTATAACTTCATAGGAAAACTAACATACTGTGTTGCTGTCTGTAAAAGCTAAGCAGGTGTCCAGTGCAGGCAAGTGGATCCTTAAGCTTTGCCTCACTTACATGTTGACTCGAGTTCTGTTTAGCAGGTGGCTTCGTGATTGGTGTACCATGTGACATTTACCAAGGGAGTTCCTCGGAGGGCAGTCTGCTCAGAGAAGCAGAGGGGTTTGCCTTTTGATGAAGAAATTGCTGAAACTCATGTTTCATTAGTGTCTCTTATGGTTCTTGGGAAGCAAACAACAGTTTAATTAAAGTCTGACGTAAACACATTTCTGCACATTATCCCTGCAGCATTTTATCTCATTAGAATTGATCAAAATAGTTGCCTTGGGCTAACTTGAACAGATATACATCTGGAGCACCATGTGTGCAAGCTGCCTTGAGTGAGTTACATGCGCTATGCTTCATAGCAACTTACTTGTTTGCTTTACTTTGTAGGTGCAGTTACCTTGTTGGGAAATGAATTGATCTAACTCTTTCCAATTTGTCTGGGCCTTTGTATCACTGACATGCTAGTAATTTCAGATTTACTATATAATGCAATCCAGATATGCATATTCTTTATCTTTTTAATACCTTGGAGTAATAACTGAAGCTTTTAATTTTTCCAAGCTTCTGTTTAATTTCTTCAGGAATGTATTCAGATACCGTTGTCTACTCTGTATTACCATATACATACAAAGTGATGGTATCAGGATATTAGTAACCAAAATTTACAAAATGACAACAGGTTTTTTTTTTCTGTACTGTAGAACACATAGTATAGTTTTAGCTCAGCTGCTCTGAGTCTTGGCACTTTAACTCACAAAATTATCAACAATGGTGAAGATGTTTGGGATATTCTCAACATTGTAATTTTCACATTTAAAGGGTAGCGGGGACTTAGGCTATAGAAGGCTATTTAAAATGAAGCCGGACAACTTTGTAATGTTAAATCCATACTAACTTCGATTTCTTTTACTGCATCTGTCAGTTTGATCCACAATTAATAGAATCCATTCCATTACTGGCGTAAGTGGCTTTGTTGCAGTTTTGAATTTGGACTGTGCAAAACGTTTTCAAAGATGCTTCAGAAAGTGCATTGGTGTGAATGATGCATTCCTCCTTTTGAAGCATTAGAACAGCTGTTTCTTCGGGAGGTTGAGGCAGCTGCTCCAAAAGCTTTCTTCTATTGTCTTTGCATATATGTGCATCCAAAACAATGCTTCCATTGGGGAAAGAAGTTGTGCTGAGCCTCCTAACATATGCCGCTGTTTCAATACATCAAAGAGGGGTGTTTTGCTAACATGCTTCGTGGTGTACCCTTTTCAAATGCTTTACATGGCTCTGTTTTGGGGTACCTTATGTTTGTTACTCCACTATGAATCACCCATTTCATCATGTGATCCTAATTGCTACAACCTATATTGTTGATGTGATTAATTAAAATATGCTTAAGTTTCTTCCTTAAAAACACATCACAGATGCATGTAGTCCCAGAAATAATCAGTGGAGAATACCTAATCCATTTTTCATATATTAAATACAGACAAGAGTTTGTACTATGTACAAACATATTTGTCTCAGAATAACATGTTTTGATTTAGTCACATCTAAAGCATGTCAGTATTTTACTTTTCTTTCACAATTTCCTGTCTCTCCCTGAAGCAATTATTTATTTAAGTTATTTATTTACCAAGACAAAAAAGGTCACTTAAAATGATTTACTTTACCTTTTGAAGAAACACAGGACTCTTACTAGATTTATTAATTGACAAGGATATGTGTCTGAAAACAAGACTTTACTAATTGTGAACTTCTACTCATATTTAACATGGAAAATAATTTTTGTATCTTTGAACTGTTCAATTCGTTTTTTTCAAATGTTGTTTAATGATGGGAGATTATGAACTAACATATGAAGTAGTTTTTCATAGTAACCTACCATTTCAGTCAATGTAGTTTTTAATACAAGTTTCGACTGTCAGTAACATCTGTACTGTTTATTTCCTTTTTTAAGTTTAGAAATCAATGTTTTATATGCTGCTTTCTTTCTTTTTTGAAATTGCGTTATATAAATTCGGTGGTGGTTAGTCTGTACCTAGATGTACAAGGCAGTGCTGAAGTCTGAAGTTTGTTAATCAACCCATGCCTGTTTCCACATTCCTGCTACAGTACATTTTTTAACAGAAAAAAAATGGTGAGACTAAGAAAAAAAATAGTTACTAAGGTTCTGCTTGAAAATGTCAGTGGGCTGCTGTTTAAATTGGAAGAAGCAAACCCTCTGAACTCTTTTTGGGCTCAAAGCACACAGCAGGAGCAAATTCATTGATTTTGAGAGCTTTTTATCTTCAAGGTGGGAATTTGGATCTGTTGGGCCTATCAAGCGCCACAACAACCTCCTAGGACTTTAATCTCAGCCTGGGTTCTTTGTAATCTCACACTCACAATCATGAAAGAATCATTATATGAAAAGCCAATAGTTAAATCTTTTCAAGTAGATTCTTATAAAATGAGCTTTAAGAAAATGAGAAAGCTATTTATTTGGAAAATAAATAGTACATTCAATTTATTTAGTATGAAGTTGACAATTTGGTGGGGGGGGGGTTGTGTCACGCTTGGCTTAATGGAAAAGTTCCTCCAGTTTTTCTGCTCTGTGTTTCGGAAGTAGTTGGCCATTGCCTTCTTCTTAGGGCTGAAATAGAGTGTGATTAGCCCAAGGTCACCCACTTGACTTCCAGGCTTAAGACAGAAGTAGAATCCAAATTCTTCCTCATAATGCAATATTTTAACCACTAGACTAAACTGGCTGTCAGGAGAAAATATATTTCATTGAGGCAATTCCGTTAACTTTAGAGAACCTCTGACAGATAGATTAGACAGGAAGAGAAAGAGAAAAATAGAGGGCTAGACTTGATTTCACTGAGGCAACCAGGATGCGTCATAGATGGATAAGGAATTAAACATGTATGCCCCATGTTTCTGAAATCCTTTCTGTCTATTCATTAATTTTTTTAAAAATAACCTCAAATAAAATTACTTTGGATGAATTGTTTGATTTATGTCATTTATAATTTTTTGTTACTTAAACAACTAAACAGTTAATGAATGGCTAAGCATTCTTTGTAATAGTGATGGAGATGTTTCTTAGTAACTTGCATTTTCACTTTTTCCAAGGGATTTGTAATCTTAAATGGTATTTGGCAAACCTCAGAATAATCCTGTTGTAAGTTGCCTTGAATTAATATTGCGAAATGGTGGCTATATAAATAAATTTATTTATTGAATCAATCAATCAATCAATGAAACAGTCTTTAATTAATATGTAGTGAAAACTGGAAATGAAAGTAAACATGTAAGGTAAAAAGAATTGAGAATATGTCAACTGATCTATACTGATTATATATAACATTTGCAGGATTAGTTGTAAGAGAGGAAAATTATACTGCCTTTGTGAAATAGATACAGATATACAGTATATTAAAAAGTAGTTACTAACAGTGGAATTGCTGATGTGGATATGTATTTTAAAGCAAGTGTGTGTGTGGCACGTGTATGTGTTTATGTATGATTTTATTGTGTAAATATGAGGTATGCAAATCTTATATAATGACCCCATAAAAATTGGTGATAGCATCTCTTATGTCTTAGAATTTTATTTGATGGTTACTAGAGGAAGCTTATAAGTGTTCATCTAAAGTAATGCATATCCTTTACTGTTTTCTAATGCAGTGCATTTTAGTCACTAACCTAGGAACTGTTAATGTTAAAAGAGCATAAGCAATTTACCTAGAATCATGATTGTAATGTTGGGGTTAATGGACATGTTGTGTTGTATGCCATTGCAGATATGTCTTCTCCTACAATGAAGAAACCTGAAAAGCCTTTGTTTAGCACTACATCTCCCCAGGATTCTTCGCCAAGACTGACTTTCCAGCATCATCACCCAGGAATCCCAGGAGTTGCACACAGTGGTGAGGAAACAAAAGTGATAGAAAATATCTCAATGTCTATTTTTCAAAATGCCAGAAAATGCAGGAAGGTTGGGTAAATGCAATATAAATTCAGCAGTTAACTCAAAATTATACCAGATATCCTATGAGCTGGAGGCTTGGAAAATTTCTCTTGCTTCAGCTGAAGTACAGTATATTTGTTTAGCTAATGTAAACAATATCTCATTTTGGAGAGACATCCGTTTTATCACATCCATAGGAGTTTTGTTTTATTTAATAATTAGAAAAACAGTAAAATAAAAACATGTTGAACCAGTTTGATGTGGTTAAGGCATCAGGCTAGAAACCAGGAGATTGTGAAGTCTAGTTGTATCTTAGGCCCAAAGTGAACAGGGTGATAGTGTACCAGATACTTTTTCCCAATTCTAGGAAGTTAGCAATGGCAAATCACTTCCTAAGAAAATTGCAGGGATTTGTTTAGGCAGTTGACAGTGATTAGCATTTCTCGCAATGAATAAATACATAAATAAATAAAAACAAGCCATTAAAATACAAATTGTTAAAGGAATTAATTGCTGGGGAAGGGCAACATAAAAAGATTGGCTTTTAAATAGGCCAATGTAGTGCCTGGTGTTTTGTGGAAAGGAAGACAGGGGTCTGTAGTATAAGCTTTGACTCATTAAAAGCTAACCCTTACCTGCAGCTCTTAAAATCCTGTGACACTGATATAACGGACAAAGCTCGGTCAAATCACGTTTGGGGCTTACCATAGTCATTCTGATACTTTGAGTCTGACTCAGTTTTTTACACAGGTGTGATAAATATACAGGAAGTCATTCCAGCCAGTTATTTAATCATTACATTGTGAATTAATGGTACTTCTGAGATTTCACTTTGTGAATTGTGTCTAGTTTGGGGCATAACAGTGATTCATTGAAGTTGAAACAGGTTCAGTGAAGTTGATTGGGGGGGAGGTGGGGGTTTGTTATCTTTAGCTTTAGAAAAAGACAGTTGAAGAGGCCATGGTAGCATGCTTTAAATACCTGAGAAGATATCGCATAATAGAAGTTCAAGATCTTTCTCGTTTTGTGAAGGGTGTAGAATAATGGACTCAAGCTATAGAAAGGCATATTAGCTTTCTAACTGGAGCAGCAGTTTGGCAGTGGGTTGACAGTCATTTGTCTGGATCCCAAAAATGTTAAATAGCTATTTAAGCAGATTTGGAGGGAATGCGCAGAAGAGGTAGAATTTATTCTATTAAGTCAACTATATAGGATAAAAGATTGAGCAAACTCTCATTTTTTAATTTATTTCAGTCATAGTGAAACACTATATTTGTGCTTTTAGACTTCTAATATAATTTTAAAAGCTTTGTGGATAGAAAAATGACCTGTCTTGATTATCAGAAACTGAATAAAGTTATATTTTGAACTTGGAACAAAACAACCCCGTGTAGCATTTTTATTGGGATAGCTCAAGCAAGATTTTGTACCTGGTGACTCTAAAAATTCTTGCTTTATTATTTACAATTAAATTTATAAATTATATTTTTATCATAGTGATTGTAAAACATGAAGGCAGCCTACAACTAAACTCTTTACCCAACAATTTTAATTTAATGTTCAGTGTCAGATCAGCAAGATAGTGTCAGTAATTATTTTATTTATATGTTTATTTATTTAGTATATTTTTATAGCTGCCTATCTAATATATGGGACTCTGAATAGCATACAGAGTTACACAATACCAAAACAACAAAATCACCAAAAAAGTAACACCAAAAACCATTAAAAACAATGAAATTATTAAGAATCGTTTTAAAAAGCATAATCTACAGGAAAGCACATTGAATTTTACTAGCAATGCAAACAATCAGTAGGCTTTATACCCATGTTATCGAATTCCCAGCCTAGGTGGCAAAGCCATGTTTCGAAGCCTTTCTAGATACAGAGGAACTTCAGGTCACGACTGTAATCTGCTCAGGACTTCGGCTGCAACCCAGTTTGGTTGCAAACAGAAGTGAGACAAACTGCGCATGTGCGTACAATTCTGCACATGCGTGGAAGGGGAAATCGCTGCAGAGGGAAAATTGCTGATTGATCAGCACCCAAGGATCTGTTCACGACCAGAAGCCTTATGCTAAGGTTTTGTTTATGCTTATTCAAATCAATTGCAGGTCCCAAACAGTTTAGCTCCATAAGTGTGATGAAGATTATCTATTATTTGTTGCCCCTCTACTGGAAATCCTTGAACTTTAGCTAGACATTGTTATTTGTAAAAATGTAAAAAGCACTTTACTTGAAATTTTTATTTTGCCACAGTTGATGTTAGTCCTTTTTTAAATGTCTGGGGACATAACTTAGTTTTAATAAAAGAATGTAGTGTCATTGATGTATGTTGACTCTTCAAGAAAACAGTTTGGGGTTTTTTCCTTCTTTATACATGGAAGTAAGACCTTAATTGACAGCTTATAGTGTACTTTAATGAAAGACTTTTAAACCTTCAAATTTTCAGCTGTGTAAACATGTCATTTAAGAGATCGTTAAATAATAGGAAGGCCTTTCTGTGAACTGAAGTGACATTATTACAGCCCTTATATCAAGAGCTGTTCTGATACTGAATTTTCTCCACAGTCATATTTTTGAGTGGAGTAGATTTTCATTGGCCTAGGTTGTAAAACTACACCCTAGCTAATACATGCTTTGTAAAGTGAGATGGGCGGTATGTTAATTAAAGCTATAGCTGTATATTTATTGTCCCTATACGATACAATATCAATATCATAACATGTTCATTTTTTTCCTCCCTATTTCTTGTTTATGTTTTTGTCACATGATATATCTTATATATAAATGAAATGATATTAATTATTGAATTATAATGTATCTTCCATCACTGAGGTACTAACTCTGCAAGTTAGTAGAGATACAAGATAATCTGTATATTCCCTTTATTGCTGAGGACTTTACTGTGTTTTTAGGTTAAGCACACAATTGCATGGTAGAGAAATGTAAGGGGGGGGGAATCTGTATGGGATATGATAGTCTTTTTGTTCAGAAAGATCTTGGGTGAAAGATTTTCCCAGGCCCTTAAGTTGAACATTCATTAGCATTTTCACAATGGGTTGCTAATTATTCATGGTGTTATTGCTTAGTAATTATTCCCCACCTCCCACCCTCATACATGTATTTAGCTAGGCTGTAGCGGAAAGTATTGTTAGATCATTTGCTGCTGCTTCGGACCATGTCTCTTAACATTCGATAAAAAAATGTTTTATACTTTTAATTTAATTGATTTACCTTAGTTTTAGATTGTATTAGATAACAAATATACTTTCGGAAATGCAATGCTTTCTCTATGCAGAAGTATGCACAATAGAGTAAAAATGCACAGTAAAGCAAAATTGCATCACTAAAGAAAAAACTATTTGTCTCCTGGGACGCTTCGTGTATGAAGGACCAGTGGTCCAAAAGATTGTAGGTTAAAAATGGGAAAAGGGAAAGAAAATACATAATTTTGTTTTTGTGGTGTATGTTTGATTCAGATTTTTCTCTACTGTCTTATGTGCTGAATTTTATCATACAAAAGATACTAAACAACTTGTATTTTTTTTCTCTCTCTAGTCATCTCAACTAGAACTCCACCTCCACCTTCACCATTGCCATTTCCACCACAAGCTATTCTTCCTCCTGCCCCATCTAGCTATTTCTCTCACCCAACTATCCGATACCCTCCTCACCTGAATCCTCAGGATACTTTGAAGAATTATTCTTATGACCCGTCCAGTCCACAAACCAGCCAGGTACTGTAACAGCCAATACTATGGTCTTGGGATGAATAGTCATGGGATGGATTTTCCTGTAACAGGTTTCAGATTGGATTCTTGCATTTGTTTAGCCCAGATTGAATCTTGTAATATAATTTTTTTAAAAACAACCCTTCAGCATTTTGTTATTATTTGACCTTATAAAAGGTGGGTGGCTACTTGTTAGCCATATTCAAACCCTTAGTGATTTTTGGATCATTAGCTGATTTTGGAATGATATAAATAGATGAGCGTGCATAGGTTTTTGGGGGAAATTCTGAAGACTGCATGGGATCAGAACAAGCTAGGGTTTCTTTTTCTGATCTGGGAACTATTCTGAATCTTTACTTTGTGTATTGTATGAAGGGAGATGGTTGAACATGTACTTTTTCCTACTTTTTTGTTTAACGTTTGCTAGATCTTTCTTTGTATTTAACTTATAGCCATGTATGGCAGTTACTGTGCATAAAATAAGTCTGAAGTGCTTGATTCAGGGAGAAGTCAAGAATGTGCTAATGTAAACACACACAAAAAGATCATGCAAGCCTATTTATAGTTTGCTATTTACATAAAGTCTTTTGAATTGCATACTGCTTTTCAATATTCTGAGTATATTTGGCAGACGTTTGAAATGGTGGAGAAAGGTAGCAGTGAATTGTATTAAAAAATGAAGATGAAGTGTTTAGTTTGATAAGAACAGTTGCACGTGGTTATATGTCAGTTCAGGCATGTTTTTAGCATGGCAATAATGCAATTTTTAAATCAGAGAAGTGATTTACAACTTTGTTACAACTGTCTTCTTATAATATCATTCACATGTTACATATATGAACTGTATATAGTATCTGAAGTATAATGTGCACTTTATTGCAGAACTTGATCCCTGGTTTTTTTTTGCCTCTTACGTAGAATTTTCTGATTAAATTCATTTTTTGTGTTGCTAAATTTCATTTGGAGATTTTGTTTGATACTGAAAGTAAAGCATTTAGTTTCTAAGCTACTTCTCAACTTAGCATTTTCACATTAAAGTACAAACATGGCAAAATAACAATGTCTATAAAAGTATAACAGAAGGATAACCAAAATTTACAAGCAATAATATAAACAATAATTTAAAAATCAGCTATATAAAATTTCTATTGTCTTATTAGAACCAAGTATGCAGACTGAGTCAGGCAACATTTATCCTTCAGAAAGGAGATCCAGAAAATTGGAGCTAGTGGAGATTCAGAAAATTGAGAAAGCATGACTCTATCATACCTCCTTCCATAGTTTAGTTATTAATGTAAAAAGAAGCATTCTGTCAAACATTTTGAATCCATGTTATTGAGGACTTTACAAATTTAAGACCAGCAGTTTTAAATTTGGTTTGGGAAAAATGTAAAACTCATTAGAATTCTCACAAAATTGATAACATGTGCTTTATGTACAATTCTAGTCAACAGTATTTTAATTCAATCCGTTTTATGTAGCTCCACATTCAACATGATTTAATAGTCCTCTTTAGAAGTTGCCAAATCATGTACAGGTAGTCCTGTGACAACTGTGTTGCACATGCTGAAGTTAGACCATAACGAAGCATGTCCATCATGGTTTTAATTCATGATGGTGGTAAGGCAGATTGCCATGTGGCTGGCCCAATGTTATGACCTTTTTGTGGTAATTGTTAAGCAAATGATCTTAAGAAGTACGTGCCATTTTTGTAGTAAATGCTGTGACTGTGGGATGCTGCAAATGGCCATAAATGCAGCCCAGTTGCTGTGTGCCTGGTCACATGATTGGGTGGGGGAGGGGCAACTGTTGAAACTTTGAACAGTCGCTAAGTTGCCGACTGTAAGTCAAAGTCTACCTGAAATACTATAGTAAATTCCTTATCTGGTTCTGAATGAGGTAACCAGAGTTGTTGATATGTTCTCTTGTGATTCTTGTCAAATGTTATATCAAAAAGAACTTCATAGTTGTTATTTTCTACTTTCAATAAAAATATTTTTTTCTAAGATAGATTATCCACCATTTCCTATATCCTTGATTCCAAAAATGCTTACATTTAGCAACTATGTGCGATTCCAAAAATGCTTACATTTAGCAACTATGTGCTATTTGAAGGTTGATCTAATGAAAACTACAAACTAATACTATATCAGTAATGATGGATAGCTCTAAAAAAATATTTTTGTGTGTGTGAAAATAGAATTTTGAAGATAAATTTGATCCCTAAAGCAAAAATAATCATGGTTGAAGAATAGTCTCCCAGCACCACCTTCTGGAACACGCATATGATTAAAGGACAGAGTACTCTATTAATTCTGATTTGGATTTTCTGGCAGTTATGTATGATAGATATTTGCTTCTCCAGAAAGTTTTCATCAAACATAAATTTTTACATTTATTTTTTCAAAATAAAAATAAACTACATTCTAAGCCCAAAGTGTCTTAGACCAAGGGTCACCAGCCTTTTGGATCTCAGGGAGCACCAAACTCATACTTTTAAATCCCGAGGACCACTAATACAAATTATTTTTAAAAGCTAATATATTTAATATAAATTTTTTATGTTAAATATAAATTTATATATTTATTTATATATATATATATATATATATATATATATATACACACATACATACATATACATACATACATACATACATACACACACACACACACACAACATATATATAAATATACACATACACACACACACACGCACACACTTATTTAATTATAACAAAAATGTAAATGTTTAATGATAACAAAATAAAACATTCTGGACTGGAAGCCTCCCCCCACCTGGCACCTTCCAAAGAAACAGAAGAGCGGGCAGAGTGTGTGTGTGTGTCTCTGAGCTGAGGGGCCTCGGGACAACTGCTTCTGGGAGAAGCAGAGACAGACAGGGGGCTTTGCTCTCCTTGTGGGGGGGCAGTGCCCCTTTGCTTCCACTCCACGGGCTTCTCAGGCATCCGTCTCCCTTTCCTTGCCTTCTTGCATGTGGGGGGAGGGGGAAGGAAAGAGAGAGAGCCAGGAGCAATTCAAAGCTAGAGAACTCCTGGGGAAGAGCCTTGGAGATACAGGCAAAGCTGCCGCAGCGGTAGCGCCTTCAATTGCTTGCTTCTCCTCTACTGCCTCCCCCTCCAACACCACTTCCTTCTCTGGGTAGGGCGATTCTTAACTAACCAAGCATGCTAAGGCAACTCAGGGTGCTACTGCTGTGGCGGCTTTCCCTGCATCTCCGAGGATTAGATGTTGGGAGAGGCAGCGAGGGCTGGAAGAGCTGAGAACTGCACATGGCTCCGTCTCCCTTTCCTTGCCTGCCTGCACGTGGGGGCAGGGGGCAGGGGGAAGGAAAGAGAGGCGGGAGCAATTCAAAGGTAGAGAACTAATGGGGAAGAGCTGACAGCAGGCTCTGGGGGTGGGGACTGTTGCTGCCACCACCGTGTGTGGGAGCTGGTTGGCCTGTGCATCTCAGGGACCTGACTCCAGGGTCCCTTGGAGAGCCGGAAGGCGCGAGAACTGCACGGCCCAGATTAATTGCCTTTGGGGGCCATTTCTTCTGCAGCCCACCAAAATTTTTCCACAGCCCACCAGTGGGCTTTCTTAGATTATTTATGTTCATTATCAATATTAAATGTCAAATTAAATATATAATTAGTACTAAATCCCAATATACTAAATGTATCTTAGAGTCTAAGATACAAAATGCTATCAGAATCTTACCGTTACTACTATTATTTATGCTGCTAAAACATAGATGGGTTAATGGTTCATAGGAATTCATTTTAGTTAGTATAACATTTCCATTATAAAGTCTAATTAAGATATCAATTAGAAGTCCTTAATATTAATTAATTATGAAAAATCTATTTTTATTATTGGCTTTTAGTCTAAAGTGAGTCCTTTAACTAGACATTGTTATCTGAAAATGCAAATAAAAATCTGTCTTCTATTGTACATTTATTTAAGAAATGCATACATTTCATATTAATAAATATTTTTAAAAAAATTTGGTCCCATTATCAAATTTGTAACATTAAGAACTTTAAAAAATCAGTATTAGCTTTTTATCTTTTGCTGCCCTGCTAATTGCATCTTTAATATTGCAAAACATAATTAGGAAATGATAATTCCCAAATATTACTGTGATGTTTCTCCCATTAAATAATTATGTGTTCATAATTTTGTTAGTTTCTGTGATTCACACGTCTGTGTCTGGTCCTACCTGCGTCTTCATATGAAAGTTCCTAGAGGTCAAATTTGGCAGGAATCTCTTCTCCAATTTGGAATGCATTCTCAAAGAATGCTGCTCCCATTGTTGATTATATAATGCAAGAATCTAGGAATGTTGGTATTTTGTTCTTTGTTGCCCGTTTTTCCTCTTCTATTACTATTCAATTTTTTTCCTTTTGTTCTACCACAGCATTTTTCTTTTTGCTCTAGCATAATGAATATTTTGCAAATTTTACCTGCCAGATTTTTCAGTTGTTCCATAGAGAATACTTTTGAAACTATAACAATAGCCTGTTGGATAGCAGGAAGAAAATGAAACTCCCTGAATTACCTTTTTAATTACTAAAAACAAGGTTTAGTTATTTATTAAATCAAATGGCCCTTACTGATCACCAGCTGAGCCCATCAAGATGTTTGGAGGAGTTACTGAAATTTTCTGCAATTCCTTTTGTTTAGAGCAATTTCCTACGTTAGAGACAAGTTTTGTTTCTAACTTAACTGTCCTCAAACCAAATTTGCATTTAAACCAGAACAAATTACTTAATCCAATGTCATCTTATTATGAACAGCTGAAAATAGACCAGACTGCATTCAGACTCTAGGCAGAAGTGAGAATTGTGTAAACCATGAGCCAAGGAGGGAGCGGGACTTGGAAATGCAATGAAGAAGAGTAGATGATCCTACACTGTTGAGCCATAGCCTCTTCTCCTGCATTGCACCTGCATTTTTTTTTTCTTGAATCAGATTTCATTGTGGTTGGTTGTCTACCATTT